GTGTCAGAGGCAGTGCAGTTGGCGCAGGATAGAGCAGGGTTTAGGGCTGTTGTGCATAGGGTTGCTATGAGTCGCAAACGACTCGACGGCACATAACAACAACTAATGCTGGCGCCTGCCTCTCCTGGCATTTACTCTGCTTTACTACTTGTCTTTTGATGAATGCCATCTTAAAATGGGCTGTGTCTTTTATTCACTGACTCTGGCTAGTGTTTCCTCCATCTCTCCATTACTAGAATGGAAGACCTCAAGGAGCTGGATGGACACGGTGACTTGAGCCCAGCAGAGATTGTAAGGATGGTGCAGGACCAGGCAGGGCTTTGTTCTAGTAGATGTAGAATCACTAAGAGCTGGAACCAGCTTGACAACTCCGAGCAACACCACGCTCCTTGAGGACAGACACTGTACTCATGTATCCCCCACACCTGGTACCTGCACAGCAGGCATTTGTGGCATCAGTGAATCTGTGCCAGACTCTCTTGGGACCACATACAGAGTGAAAAGTGCCAGTCTCTTCTCAGGATAGTCATTGTTTCATGAAAGCAGTTGTTGTTGCATGCTGCCAACTGATAACTAACCCTCCAGCAGGTTTTCAGAGGCATTTAGTCACACAGGAGGAAACTGTCCATCCTTCTCCCACAGAATACCTGATGGATTCAACCAATGCCTTTAGGATTGCAGTGCAGCTTCTTACCACTTGGCCACCAGAGCTCCCTAGTAAGCAGTTAGTTAGTACAGTATAAAAAAGCAAAAGTTAAACAAAAATAACACGAGTGTAATGACAGGGGCTTTGCATAAAACTCTTCCAGCAAAGAAGGGCACTCCAGGGCCCACGACAACAGGGTTAATCTGTTTGGTGTTCTCTTCCCATGAAAGAGGGCCCATGTGAGACAAGCTGTACCCTAACCAGTGCCTTTCTCCCACCACTCCAGCTATCCATGCTGTTCACAGAAGAATGTGACAAGGTGCGGGACCTGATGCACGTGCACTCCTTCAGCTATGACTTCCACCTGCGCCTCGTGTACCAGCACGTGCTGGGTACCCACCTGGTCCTCCGGCACGGCTACCACCTCACTACCTTCCTTCGACATTTCCTGGCCCACCACCCTGATGGACCCCACTTCGGCCGTAATCACATTTACCAAGGTCAGTGCCCAAGAGCAAGCCCGTGAGCCACCAAAGAACAGGCCAAAAGGGTGTCCCACAGCCAGGGCCAGTGGGTGCACTTCCCAGGGCAAGACCTCGGTCTCTGCATTCCCTGTTCTGTCCTATTAAATGCCTTATAGCACATCTACCCTGTCTTCATGTCTCTGGCCAGGTCATATGTTCTTCAGTCTGTTTCATTTCAAAGTACAGCTCCTATGGCATATACCCCCCTGCCCTATATCTGTTCTGGGTCATTGTTTATCACATCCCAGTGTTCCACAGGAAGTCAGGCACTCCCTTGGAAAGCCCCTTAGTAACTTCTCTTCCTTTCTTCCTTCCCCTACCAGATTAGTATTTCTATCTCGGGCTTGGTATCTTCTATCTCTCCTATAACTTTCCATTTAGGGACATTGGAGCTACCCACACCCCTCATTGCTGCCCACCAGCTGTACAACTACGTGGCCGACCATGCCAGCTCCTATCACATGAAGCCACTGCGTATGGCCCGGCCAGGGGGCCCAGAACATAATGAATATGCCCTGGTGTCAGCCTGGCACAGGTAAGGCTGGAGGAGGCACCCAGCATACACTCAGGCAGAGCTGACGTCTGCACCATACTTGGAGTCGGGAGACTACTGTTTTCTTAGGCAGAAGACACGGGACTGTTTTCTTTAGAGCTTCAGAGTTGACACCTTCTCCCTCTGTAACACACAGCTCTGGATCCTTCCTGGACTCTGAGGGACTCCATCACTCAGATGACTTTGATGTGTCTCTGCTTGTCTGTCACTGTGCTGCACCCTTTGAAGAGCAAGGAGAAGCAGAGAGACATGTTCTGAGGTCAGCAGCTGCCCACCTTGAACATGCCCATTGCTCAGCCTGTGCCCTGCTCTTGCCCTGTGACCACCACTCCTCTCTATCCCCCGCACAGACTACAGTTCTTCGTGGTGCTCACTAGCCAACGAAAGCTATTCCCCAGACTCACTGTCGACATGCGTCGCTTCCAGAAGCCACCCAGACTGCCCCCAGAGCCAGAAATTCCAGGGAGCTCAGCTGGTAGCCCTGGGGAGACCTCAGGGGAGGGGTTGGCCCCTAGAACAGCTCCCCTGTTCCCACCACTGGCTGCTGAGGTGAGTGTCGCACGGGCACGGCTGGCTCAGCTGGTACGACTTGCTGGAGGGCACTGCCGTCGGGACACACTCTGGAAGCGCCTCTTCTTGCTGGAGCCACCAGGGCCTGATCGGCTGCGGCTTGGGGGGCGTCTGGCCCTGGCAGAGCTGGAAGAGCTACTAGGAGCAGTCCATGCAAAATCCATTGGGGACATTGACCCTCAGCTGGTAAGGAGCTGTGGCTCCAGATAGGGCTTGGGTGATTGCAGGCAATCTCAGAAGCCTCCAGGGTGGAAGGTGCTGGGGTCTCAGAGGTGGCTGAGACGTATCTAGCCTGTGGACCCTCCCGCAGGACTGCTTCCTGTCCATGACAGTCTCCTGGTACCAGAGCCTGATTAAGGTTCTCCTAAGCCGCTTCCCCCAGAGCTGTCGTCATTTTCAGAGCCCAGACTTGGGGACTCAATACCTGGTAAGTCCCCTTAACTCCCTCTGAAACTGGTGTCTTGAAGGAGATCTCAGAAAAATGCCAGATGTCTCCCCTCAAGGATCTGCAGACTGTTCTGGAGGGGACCTGGATGGAATGCGATTCCACAGATACATGTAAAAACCCTTCCAGTGTTGAACCACAGATGTGAGCACTGGGCTGGGGGGGGGGCTGTTTAAAAGAGCCCTCAAAAGCTCACTGAACACAATGACTAGAGATCCTGAGAGGCAGGGTCTGGCACCAGAGGAACACTCAGAGCTTATCTGCAATTGGTTTTGGAGGATGCCTCTGGGCTTTAAAGCTTTGTTACCCAAAATAACCGGCAGGATCAACATCACACAGGAGCTTGCTGAAATGCAGACTCTCAGACCACACTCCAGATCTGCTGAATCAGAATCTGCCTTGTAACAAGACCCTCAGCTGATCTGTATACACACTGAAGTTAGAAATACTGTTATACAGGCAGGTCTCAAGAAAAGGTGGAGCAGTTAGTCCCAAGAGATGGGCCCAGTGAGAGCTATGGTCTAGGAAAGGAAGCTTGTCAAGAGAAGACTTAGAGAGTGAGTTGGTCTGTGGTAAGGAGTCTTGCAACAAGTTTTCATGGGCAAGGTTACCTTCAAGGACATCCTGAGAGGCTGAGATCAGTGAGGATACACCGCAGTGGTACAAGTGGGTGTGAGCAGATGGGGCTGATCCTGTGGGTGGAAACACTGAACGGGAATGGGTTTGGGGAGCAGAGTGGTGAGTTCAGCTTAAGGCAAGTTAGGTCAGAGGACCTTCTGGGAATGCTGTCTAGGAGGAATATGGACATTGGGATTGGCACCCAGGGAGAGATCGAGGCAGCATCTATAGGAACAGGTGGTAATTGAAGCCTTGGAAGTAGAAGAAATTGCCCCAGGAGAGAGAGAAAAGCTGAGCATTAGGGAACAGATATAAAAGAACAGTCCCGGGAGATCAGAGAGATGAGAGAGCTGAGATAGTCCAGGAGGCAGAAAGACTGACTGCAGTATGCTAGACCTGGTTCAGTGCCACAAGAGGTGACCCCAGTAACCTTCCAATTATGGGCCCCCCTTCTGATGAGCTTCAGACAGGCTTCCTAGGAAGCTGATGAACGTGAGGACTGTGATAGGAAATTTGAACACGTGGTCCCGAGTGGACTTAAGAGTGCGGGGGCGGTCAGGTCTTAACAGTGGAAGCTGACCTTTAGATAAGCACCACTTGTCAGGAACTCTGAAGGGGCCATGCCTCCCAAGGAAAGGCAGGCCTCACTCCCTTCTCGTTTTGTCTTTCACTGCAGGTTGTGCTGAATCAGAAGTTCACTGACTGTTTTGTGCTAGTGTTCCTGGATTCTCATTTGGGAAAGACGGTGAGAACAGGGGTCAAGGACTTGTATCCACTTGATGTGAGGTTCTAGCCCTTATCTCTGACCTCAGTGCCTGCCTGCTGCCCACAATTCTTGATTGAACCCTGCCTTCCTCTCACCACTGTACCCCTCCCTATCCCCACAGTCTCTGACAGTGGTTTTCCGAGAGCCTTTCCCAGTACAACCTCAGAACAGCGAGAGCCCTCCTGCCCAGCTGGTCTCCACCTACCACCACCTTGAATCTGTCATCAACACAGCCTGTTTCACTCTCTGGACCCGCCTTCTCTGAGACTGAGCCCCTCAGTGTGCCTAGTCTTTGAATCATGGATCTGTCCGGCTGCCCACTTGAGGCAGAGCTGAGCATGCCTGCTCTGGACCTGTGACAGGCCCAAGCACCAAATGACACCAAAGGCTTGGCCGGGAAGCAGAGACAGCCTTCCCCAAATACTCAACCACTGAGCAGCCTGGCTTCCAGAGGGAGCATTCGGCTCTCCTCTCAACCCCCTGGGTCCTTCCAGAAGAGCATTCTTCCTTCCTGTCCATCTAGTGGAACCCCAGGAGTTCTTCATCCCACAGGGCAAGCACTCACCCCTATTCCTGTCTTTGCAGCCAGCCCTCTGATCTTTATTTCCCACTTGGACATCACTGCTGGACATTGCTGTTAAGCTGAGGTTCCAGCTCCAGCTTTGTCGTTGAGCTCCTGTGACCATGGGAAAGTCCCTTTGCCCTGAGACCTTCAGTTTCTCATCTGTAATGAGGAGGTTGGCTCAAAAGCTGTCATCTCCACAGCAACAATGACACAGACTGGCAGACTTGAGCATGAGCTGTATGTCCCTTCTCAACAGGAGGGAAACAGCCCAGAGAAATAGGAAGATTAGACACTGTGTGTCCTCCACCTCCCTGCCCCCAAATACAAATACATATGAAAACGCCCAGCAAGTTGTCTTTAATTCAGAGAAGACACGGGATATCCACTGCCCCAGCGGCATATGAGCAGCGTGCAGCACCTCCCAGGCCAGACTTCGGATGGCCTCACCTATCCCGGTAGGAACGTAGCCACGTCAAGCCCTCTACAGTGTCTCCTGAGGGAAGCGGGAGACAGCATCTCAACTTGGGAGGAGATAAATAGTCCCTTGTCCAGTACTCATCCCTTTAGTGCTCCTTCCCCAGGGCCAAACCTGGGACCTCCTGCCACCGCCTCATCTCATCCCTCACCCTGGGGTCGGTATTCGCAGCCCACAAAGCCTTTGTAGCCTTCCTCCTCCAGCAGCTGGAATAGGTAGGAGAAGTTCAGCTCTCCAGGACTGTCAGGTTCTCCCCGGCCGGGGACCTGTGCCACCTGCACGTGGCCTGGGACACACAAGAGCAGATATGAGCCCAGGCTTCCTGCTGGGGCCTGAGGGACTGAAAATGTGGGAGGGCATAGCAGATGAGGAAGGAGCAAAGAAAGGGACCCTTCTCACCAACAAGGGGCAGGAATTGCTGGATGTTTCTTGTCAGGTTCCCATCCATGATCTGCCAGTGGAATAAGTCCTGAAGAGAGCACTATGGTCAGAGACCCCCTCGAGGCCCCACCATTCTTCAGTGCTTCTTAGATGAGAGGAATAAGGACCCACTGAGAAGCACTTTCTTCCCCTTACCATTTGTAACTGGAGATTGGGTCTTCCAACTTTCTGTAAGATGGCTGCCGCTGAGGGGGAGAAGCTGCATGAGACTCGGGAGAACACAAACATTGAGGGAAACAGGAGGTGGGACAGGGCCGGGGGTCCTACCCTGCTGCGGGGTGTCCAGGAAGTACCGAGGGTCAGTGATACGGGTATTAATGGGCTCCAGCAGTCCCACGAGGTTCTCCTAGCACCAAGGTGGATGCTATAAATAAAGCTCCTCACCAGGTTATTCTCTCCTTCGTCACGGATCAAGGATTTCACCTGTCCCTCTGCTCCCTCCACTGTGAACCTCCCCACAACCCAGACACAGATGTAAGCACATATATGTGCACCTGGAGGACGACGCAGGCCCAGCGGGCTTTTCTGTTTATGCAGGGCTGCTAGAAGTTGGAACCAACTTGACAGCACCCAAATGCCAGGTGGGTCTGTTTTCACCGGTCTCACCTGAGCCAGAACATCCGCTGCGTGCCTCAGGTTCTCCAGAAAAACTGTCTCCATCTCTCCCCTAACAGCTGCTCTGTCAGCCCCCTGGGGTACACGGCCAGCCATCAGGTGAATCCTGTGGGGAAGAAGGGGCTGGAGGAGCTGTGGGGTCCATCCTGAAGACTGCAATCTTTGGCTGCGCTGTGAATCCTTCTAATGTACCTGCTTGTGCCAGCCACACTTCGCTCCCCAGGGCCCATACCCGCACCCCAGTGTTCTCAGACCCTGTCAGTCTAAGCTATGCCGTTCCCAGATGTCTCAAGTCAGAGTCTGGGCTTGGGATCCACCCCGCTGCCTCAGAGCCCCTCAGTCCATCATCACATGGCCCCTCTCATCTTTTAACCTCCATAATCATCTGACTCTTTTCAGACTATAATCAGGACAAGTTTCACCTTTCTAAAATTATTTTGACCTTTACCCTTCTCAAGTATGGCACTGTCCTCAGGCCCCACTGTTCACAGTTAGGAATAACCCCCTAGTTGACGGTTGCTTCAACCCACTAGGTCTCTGAAGGATTCGAGATGTATTTAACCACCCCACTTTGCTGCATGTGGTCAAATGAAGGGCAAGGTCTTCCCAGCCCCAACAGGCTACATCTCCAGCTTGTGGAACACATCCCACGTGAGGTTGGTGGGCTCACCAAGCTGCCTCTTTGCCCTTCGACTCTCAGCCTGGACTGCCTTTTACCTCTTGCCCGTCATGCAATCCTTCAAGACCCAATTCCACCATCACTACCTGTTACATGTTTTCTCTGACCCAAACAAGGGCTTGGTTGCCTACTGTGCTCCCACGGCCTCTGGAAGTGACGCTGCCCTAGAACACTCAGTATTACTCCCTAATCAGAATGGACTCCCAGCAGATGAGACTGATGAGCGTCATAAGGATGGTCCTTTACTAAAGGAGACTAGGAAGCAATTTTAAAACGCCAGGACTGGGGAAGAGGAGGACAGTGAGTTCAGTGCTTGCTCTCCAACAGGAAGGCGGAAGCCGTGGCTCTCTGACCTTCAACCTGAAGCCCGGTCAAGGGTCACAGAGAGGGAAGGAGACAAAGCAAGGTTGGGGAGCAGAGGGTCGTGGGAGGGGGGATACCTGGGGCAGCCCAGAGCCTTGGCATAGAGCACAGCCTTCTGCAGCTCCTCTCTGAAGGCCGCCTGCCGCCCCGGTACGGCCCCCAGGCCCATCTCCCCCTTGTCTTGATCTCCTGTGGGGAGAAGGGGGTCAGTCCCCGCTCCATCACCCCGCCCGCCTCGTCCCGCCCGGCCCGCCAGCCAGCGCACCGGGGGGCGTGTTGATCAGCACCAGCTGCAGCCCCTCTTCCCGCGCAGCGCGCGCCAGCGCCTCGGGCCGCTCGGCGTAGGGGAAGGCCACCTCGGCCGCCTCGAAGCCCGCGCTGCCCGCGGCCGAGAGCCGCGCGAGGAGCCCGGGGACCTCGGGGAACAACCACGACAGATTCGCCGAGAAGCGCAGCGGAGCCATGGTCGGGCGGGGAGTCGGTCTGGGGCACACGGTGGCGTGGCGGGGCCGCGCAGGGCGGGGCCGCAGCCCAGCTGACCCGGAAGGTGGAAGGCGGCGGACCCCGGGCTCGGTGGGGCGCTGGGGACGCGCTGCAGCCGTGCACACGGCGAGCTCCGGGATCTGGGTGTGCGCGCTCTCCGGAGGGAATCTCCGAGGGTCCCCAACCCGGCGAGAGGCCCCCGGCCGAGAGAAGCTGGCGCCGGAGGAAACCGAGCCACAGCTTTCCCTGCTGGCTTTCAGCAACAGCGCTCAGCACTTTCGGGCATGGAAAGGGTTTGGAAAGTAATGTGTTTATAAATTCAGAAAAGTGAACTTTGTTCAAGCGACTAGGAAGTCAGGAGTCGGGGAAAGGACGGGAGCACCCGAGGCCCCAGCATGACAAGAGGGGCAACCTCGGAAAAAGAGAAGGGTCTTCACTGGTTGGTGCCTTTGATGCCAACCCACAACTCATCTAGCTTCAGGCATCAGTGTTAAATACATCAGATTTACTCTCTAGAGTTTTTAAGTAAACTCAAGGTCAAAGTTTGGTGGATTTAGTTCGATGATGTTGCTTTTGATTGCCTTGAGCCGAGCACAACATATAGCGACCCTATGAACAAAAGGCCTACAACTATCTACAACTGTGGGCATTTATCAAAGTTCATCGAGTTTCTGGAGACATTTTGTTTAGGAAGAGGATGCCACTCCTGCTTCCAAAGTCAGCTTTAATTTGAACTTGCATGTGAAATTGATAGTGTGTTCCAGAGGCAGCAGCCTTCTTTTGATGGCAAGTGTGGAGCTTCTCCACGGATAGTCAGTATAACTGCTGTGTTGCCCATCAGGTGAGGTCCATGTATTTGGTCCATTTATGGTTTTTTTGAAGTATTTTCAATGAATAAATAGTACAAAATTCTGGTATTTGATGTCCAGCCTCATTTCTGTCATCAAGGCCATATTTTCCGTCAGTCCTTTGTTTCCAATTTTTGCATTCTAGTCACCAATTATTATTAATATATGTCCTGGTTGAATGTCTGAGCAATCTCAGACTGCAAAAGTTGATAGAAATCCTGAGTTTCTTCATCTTTGGCTTCAGTGATTGGTCTGTCTTAACTGACTAATAGTTGTATTCACAGGTTGTCTTTGTGTTCCTGTCACAGCACTGTACTGTAGGATAGATCTTGAAGTGCTCTTTTTTTACAGTGAGTGCAACACCATTCCTCTTCAGTTTGTCATTCCTGGCAGAGTAGATCATATGATTGTCTGATAAAAATGGCCAATATTAGTCTATCTCAGCTCACTAATGCCTAACTAGGATATTGATCTTTATGAGTTTCTTTTTGGTTTGACTACTTCCAGTTTCCTGCATTGATACTTCACATATACCACGTTCTAGTTATTAATGAATGTTTGCCCCTATTTCTCCTCATTTTGAGCTATGTATCATCAACAAGTGAAGGTCCACATCAACAATGTGGATGGAGTAGAGTTTTCACACACTGAAGGACCTTCACTTGTGTTTGGTGGCTTAGCAGTAAGAAGTAGTGCTACTGACCCAAATCCATTAGCTGTTCTGAGGGAGAAAGTTAGGCATTCTCCTCCCATGCAGTTCACAACTTCTGAAAAGCCTCTACAGGGTCAGCTATGATTCATTTCCGACTGGACAGCACATAACAGCAACAACTTCCTCGGGGAGTCATATTCCAGCAATGTTCTGTTATGAATCACAGAGCTTACAAAGGCATGTGTTTTGGAAGTGAGTGGTCAGCCTTGCTGCTTAGTCTGGAAGCTCCACTGGAAACCTATCCATTGTGGGTGACCCTGCTGGTATTTGAAATACTGGTGACATAGTTTCCAGCATCACAGCAACGTGTAAACCACCACCGTACAGCAAACTGGCAGAGGATTGGTGGCAAGCATGGTGACATTTCACCTCCCAGACTTAGCGTGTTGTCAGGAGGGGCTCAAGCTTGGAAAAAGTCATCATTTTAAGGTCATAAAAAAAAAAAGACCATCAATGAGATGGATTGACACAGTTATTGTAACAATGGACTAGGACATGGTGGATATGGTCTTAAAAACTTGATTACAAAGTTCTGATAATGCTGTGTCTGCAGGTGTTCTGGTGGTCTGGTTTTTTTAAAATAATTTTTATTTACTTATGTGTGTACCATCAAATTGGATCTGACTGGTACAGGAGGTGATTGTTCCCCCTTCTTCAGCAGAGCATCTGGTAGATTTGAACCGCGCACCTCTGGGATTGCAGTGCAGTTTCCTGCCACTAGTGGTCTGGATTTTTATGGGTTTGGGTTGTTTTTTTGGGGGGGGGGGGTTTGTTTTGTTTTGTTTTGTTTTTTTTGCTTTTAATAGGTTCTCTTATTCATTACATCACCATTTTTAAGCATGCAATGTTATGTTCATTTTATAAATCATTTTTATCTTAATTTGAAATTCTTTAACGGCTGATGGCATGGATTATCTTTACACATTTCCCCCTTCTTTTACACTTCTCTGCAGTACCTGTGGGTTTGGGTACTCAAACGTTTCAGACGGCTCACACTTAAGGCTGGAAGGCAGTGAGCTTGGCCTGACAGACCTTCCATCAATTTCCCTGTCCTCCACTGAAGATGGGATTTACAGCATTCCCTTCCAGTCTTCTTAAAGCAGTGTTAGGCAGTTGAAAGCTTTGAAGTCAGGTAGACTGGACCATCAATACCAGCTCGACTATTTAGTATGTGATGTAAAGCCAGTTGTTCTGGAAATTGTTCAGTAAATTTTGTTCTTTATCTTCTATTTCCAAGGCTGTCATCTTAATGGAAAGAGCTCTGATGGTATAGTGCATAATGCATCTGGTTTCTAACCAGAAGGTTGGCAGTTTGAATCCACCAAGCTGCGTGGGAGAAAGATGGGCATATCCTTCAGTAGAGAGTCACTGCTTCTGGAGGAGGGTCATCAGGAGTCCCACCAGCTCTGCAGTGTATTTGGTTTTTGTTTTTACTTTATAGAAACTGAATGCTACATCTTTCTCCCTCACTTTTCTCTTGCTGAGTAGCTGGTGGGTTCCAGTCGCCAATCTTTGAGTTAGCTGCCAAGCTCTTAATCACTGCACCACCAGGGTTCTTCTCACACCCTGTCCTCCAGTTAGGTTTTGGAGGCCGTCTGTCACACAAGGAGATTGCCTATCTTTCCGCCTTGGAGTCCCTGGTGGATTGCAGCCTTGGATTAGCAGCATAATTCTTCCTGTCACTGACTGGGCCACCAGTACTCCCTCTTCCACCTCATTATGTGGTGCTGGTGGTGGTGGTAGTGGTGGTGGTAAGTGACAGACAGTTGCCTGTACCTCATAGCGACCTTGTAAACAGTAACTCTGAACCATGCCCTATCTTGTGCCATCCTCACCATCTCCAAAATACAGGTGCCCATTGTTACAGTCCCCATGCCAGGCCATCTTGTTGAAGGGCTTCCTTTCCTGTGCTGACCTTCCACCTTTTCAAGCATGATGTCCTTCTCCAAGGACTAGCCCCTCCTAACAAGTTGTCCAGAGTACGAGAAGAGCTTCATGATCCTTGCTTCTCAAGGAGCACTCTGGACTCATCTCCCATATCTTTTGTTAGGGCTGGTGGTACAGTGGTTAAGTGCTCAACTGCTAACCCAAAAGTAAGCTGTTGGGACACACCAACTGCTCCATGGAAGAAAAAATATCTGCTTTTGTAAATGTTTACAGCTGTGGAAAACCGAGAGGAAGGGTTATAGGGGCTGGGATGGTGGGGTATAGGGCTATTGACTGCACTGGGTGACTCAGAGCGTGACATCAAAATGACTATCAAACTTGAGTGCAATGTTTTGTTTTAGAGAAATGTACTATTTTTTTTGTAAGAATATACTTATAGTTACTTAAAAAAAGAATATAGTTACTAAGACAATTTTTTTCTAACGTTCAGATTACATATATCCTACTTAGAAGGTTAAAACGCTATAATAATTTATTGTGTAAACCTTCCAATATGCTCCAGTCAGAGTGGTCATTGTACCCGATGACAGTGATACTTCCAAGCACTGGTTTCATTCGCATGCTTGCAACCAGGAACCATAGTCCCAGGTGTTTTTATCATTTGCTGATTTTGTCAAATTTTCTGGTGTTTTAGCTAAAATATTGTAGAAATTAGTGTTTGTAAACCTCTGTGAAGAACTCTTGAGAATGAAGTAGTAATTAAAGAAAAGAAAGAGGAAAAAATTGTAAATGCTTCCTTTAAGTTACAAATAATATGTAACTAATAGTGTAATTTGATGTAGAAAGAGTTTTATGAAATAGTTTGTTAACTGAGGAGGACCTGAAGTGCTTGCTGCAGAGGGTCAAGGACTGCAAATTTTAATATGGATTGAGGCTCAATGTCAAGAAGACAGAGATTCTCACCACTGGGCCAATTGGCAGCGTCAGGATGGATGGTGAAGAGATTGAGATTGTTCACAGCTTTAGTTTGCTCAGCTCTACGGTCAACACTCTTGGCACCAGCAGCCAGGAAATTAAAAGGCACATTGCCATGGGAAAGTCTGCTGTTAGGGACCTCTCCAAAGTACTGAAGAGCAATGGTGTCTCTCTGGAGACTAAGGTACATCTGATACAGGCCATGGTCTTTGCAATCACTTGTTATGCATCAGAGAGTTGGACAATGACTAGGGAGGATAGAAGGAGAATTGATGCCTTTGAGCTGTGGTGCTGGAGAAGAGTATTGAGAATACCATGGACTGCTAGGAATACAAACAGATTCATCCTGGAGAGGATTAAACCAGGCGGCTCCTTGGAGGCAAGGATTCTGAGGCTCCGTCTGACATACTTTGGACATGTTGTAAGGAGGGACAGGTCCTTGGAGAGGGACATCATACTTGGTAGGGTGGAGGGACGTGCAGGAGGGGAAGACCCTTTATGAGGTGGATTGATTCAGTGACTGGGGTAATTGAGATGGGTGTGTCGGACACAGTGCGAT